TTATTGAACATTTGAACGTAAATATTTATTTATTTATTAGTTGTTTATTTATTATTTATTTTAATTCTTAATTTAAAATTTAATTGTTTATTTTAAATGTTAGATATTTATTTCAATTGTTTATTTAAATTTTAATTACTTAATTTGATTTTTGATATTTATTTTTTATTTAAATGATTTATTATTCAAGTGTTCATTATTTATTTCAATTGTTTATTTAATTATTTCAATTATTTATATTTTAAATAAAACGAAATGGAAAAACAATTCAATTAAATAAAAAAATGGGCCACATTTCTAGGTGCCCCAAACGTCTGGATCCGTCTGAGCCTTCGACATTCGCAGTCTGCTTCGTTGCAGATGGCTCCAATGGTGGAGATCGCCATTTTTGACGATCTCCGCCCACATAAACACCAATAAAATTGAAACCCCATTAATTATTTATATACTAGAACCCTTTTTTAAATGAATTTTCAACAAATAAACCCTCAACAGTTCAAGAAATCCATTATTAATGGCAACAATTCAAAAAATCAAAGATTAACGGTGGACAAGAGTTTCAAAGCTTACCTTCTTCACAGAAATGGAGAGCTTCGGTCTGGGTCGTTGATTTTCCTTGCATACAGGCGACGGTTTTACTACATGACTTTCTCTCTTTTTCACTCTTTAGGTCGGTGTGAGGGCAAAAATGGATTTTCATTGTTCTTATTGGTTTTAATGATTTTTCAATTTTTTTTATTTATAATCAACTGCCATTTTAGAAAATTGTAATAATCAAGAAGCCATCTATCCCTATTTCTTCCTAAACAAAGGGGTACTTTTCAGTGTAGCTTTATCAAAGTTACCATTTTTCACTTTGACCAAAATTTTTTTGTCATTCACCACAATGGCTTCTTAAGCTGTAAAAGACAAAAGTACCGTTAACTTGTTACACAATAAAAAAAAAAAAAAGAAGAAGAAGGATATTGTTTAAAAGACTATTATGCCCTTTCAAGTTACAAAAAATTCCAAACACTTTTCATTTAAATTTTCAAAACCAAATCACCTTTTTTTATCTTTTTACTTCAACACAGACAGAAATGGCTTCATTTTTCATCTGCTTCAACCGTGAAATCTCATAAATTTATCAAGCGCTCAACAAAAACAAATTATTTCTAGCCAGCACTACGAATCCTTAAGTATATTTACGTATTATTAATTTTATTTTCATTGATTTAGTAACTTGTTTTAATCGTTAAAACTTATTTTTTACAAAGCAGATAATTTTTTACAATCTTAGATAGATCTATAATTTTTTAAGTAAAATCAAAAAATTCATCTGAACACGTCCAAGAACATTGGGCTCCCGACGGCTAGGCCATCTGGATCTACACATAGCGATCCAGACAGGATTCACACGTTTGGGTCCGCTTGACCCAACCTGCTATTTTCGACGCGTTGGATCCAACTCGCTAGGCCAAATGTCGGGTTGGAGGATTTTTGAAGTCTTTTTTTTATCTCCTAATTATATTTTTTTAACAAATTATGTTTTCCGTATGTATATATGGGATCGACTGGAATTCCAATTTGCTACTTTGGTAAAATTGAAATAAATGAAAATGAACGTTGGGTATGGATATAGATGAGCGAAAGACGTGGTGCTACTGCAATTGTGATAAGTTCTAATACATCATATGTAGAAATGTACCATGAATTACAAAACATGCTCAGCGTCGATCTTTCTCAGTACGACATGGAATTGGGATTTCTATTCAGCGAGCATGTGTTCATTTCAATTCCGCATGTAATAGTTACTTCTAAAGCTGAAATGAAGGTTTTAATTGAATTAAACCTGAATCGCACGACTCCTATTTGTGTAACTTTAGTAGAGAAGAATAAACTCGAGGGTGAACTTGAAGATTTCGATAGAGGGCACCATAATGTGAATGATTTTTGGAGCACAGTGGAGATAGTTCGTAAGGATGATGTGCTTATGCCTGAGACAGTTGCTTCTCACCATGACCTCATTATTACTCATAGGATTCCTTCGACGGTTGGAGACAATGAAAATGAAAATGAAAATGAATTTACAAATGAGAATTTGATTGCGTTATATCGTCAGAAACATGAGTCCGGGGGAACTCATAGGTTGGAACTGTACACGGTATTCTAATTGTTCACATGTAGTTCCCGATAATGAAGATTTGTATATCGACCAACTGTTTGAAACAAAGAAAGATTTGAAGGAAGCCGTTCATTGGATAACTTTGAAACACAACTTTGAGTTTAAAGTAAAAAAATCAAACAAGTTGACGTACACAATTATTTGTGTTGATGACAATTTCCATAAAAATGAAGATGGACACGAATGAGTTCCTCGTAGTTCGTAAGTATGCACGGGAACATACTTGTGAAGCTGGTATTCGGTAAAATGATCACAGACGGGCCAGATCATGGTTCATTGATTGACAAATAATACACAAGTTTCAGGGCCCATGGACGATCTATAGACCTTTAAACATCATTAACGATGTTTATCAAGAGCATGGAGTGGTCAAGAACTATTAGAAGGCCTGGAATGCCAAATAATGTGCATTAGAGGACTTAATGGGTTTGATCGAGGACAGTTCTATTAAATTGGCCAGGTATTGCCATAACATGGGGAGAACTAATCCTGGATAGGCATTTTTTAGTGAGACGGATGGCGAGAATTATTTCAAGTAGTTGTTCATGGTCCTTGGACAATGCATTCGAGGATTTCGAAACGCGATACGACCTCTAATTCTAGTCGACGGTACAACCTTTAAGACTATACATGAAGGCAAGTTGATTATTGCAACATGTCAAGATGCTAACATCCAAATTTACCCTCATGCATTCGGCATAGTCGAAGGAGAGAATGACCTAGCGACACGTTGGTTTTTCATGAAGTTGTGAAAAGTGATTGAGGATGTCGAGAACCTTGCATTCGTAACTGACCAGGGACAGTCAATAATAAATTGTATCGTCGAAGTCTTTCTCGAGTCACATCACAATTATTGTATGTACCATATATAGGGCAACTTGAAGACTACGTATCGAGATAGTTGCATTGTTGTATTATTTAGGAGAGTTGCCGAGTTTTACAATTTTGAAGAGTTCGATAAGTTCATGGTCGAAAGAGAAAGTAAATCACATGCTGTATGAGAATATTTAACAGAGATGGGGATCAAACATTAGGCACGATCACACTTTTTAGGACGTCAATACAATATGATGACGTCGAACAATGCGAAATTGCTCAATGTATTATTCAAGAAGGATTGAGAGTCACCAGTACTCGCAATAATAGATCACATTCGTAACAAGCTACAGCAGTAGTTTCATGATCGACATGAGGAATCACAGAGTTGCACAAGTATGTTAACCCCGACTCAGGAAGTAAACTCTTCAAGACATTGGAGGTGGCGAGAAAGATATGTGCAGAACTACTGGACCAGTTTCGCTTCTCCGTGAGATGTGGACATAATATTGGATATATCGTGGACTTTAATGATAACAAGTGCACGTGTAAACAGTTCCAGTTGAAAAGTTTTTCATGTACGCATGCAGTAGTAGTGGATATGCAAAGAGGATTTTCAGCACACACCTTATATAGTTATTATTACATGGCTGATTATTGGAGAGTATCGTATGCCGAAACGATATATCCTGTACTAAATGAAGTCAAGTGAAAGGTTCTTGACCACATTCTCTCACTTAATAATGTGTTGCCACCCGGAGTCAAACCACGTACTCCTGGACGCACACGCACGTCTAGACTACCATCCACTAGAGAATTTCCTCAACCTCATAAGTACGGCAGGTGTGTCGCAACAGGGCATACTCGTCGATTTTGCACAAGTCAGATTCCATTACATAACAATTTAATGAATGTGTAATAAAATTTGAAATTTATTTGCTATTTTTACATTTTGTCTGTTATTTAACATTTACCAATTTTTAATGAGTTGTTTAATATTTCATTCATTATTTTAATTATTTTACATAAATTTGACAATATTTTCAATTATCTCGTAATTAATAAGTTGTTTAATATTTCATTCATTATTTTAATTATTTTACATAAATTTGACAATATTTTCAATTATCTCGTAATTAAAAAATCAACATATTGTATTTACATAAATTTGAGAATATTTATAATTATCTCATATTTTAAAAAAATCAACGAATAACATTTACATAAATTTGACAATATTTACAATTATCTCAAAATTAAAAAAATCAACGAATAACATTTACATAAATTTGACAACATTTACAATTACCTAATAATTATAAAAAATCAACGTATAACATTTATAAAAATTTGACAATATTTACAATTACATCGTATTTACAAAAAATCAACGTACACAATATTTATGGATCACAATTGTATTCATACAAATCGCAGGCTAACTTCAACCTCTACATATCTATCCAAGATTGATTTATTGTATCACAACACTAAAAAATTCAATATATTTTATTGCGAATAATCCACAATCACCCCTGCAAGTAAATAATAATATATCAGTTCGTTCCATATAGTTAAAAAAATAAGTTTTTGAATTAAAAACTGGTAAATCCTTCCGATATTCCTTGTCTCGTCGTTGTCATGTTTTGTACAATGGCTAATTTGTCATTTACTTGAATCATCGCATGGTTTATCCATCATGGGAATGATCAGAGCCATCAGCTCTAGTATTTGCTCCAATTGATTTTGTGTCAGACGGCTATGGTCGAAGTTGTACACATAAATAGTCGAATCAACAAATACGATCTCCAGTGAAAAGCAGTGTGCGATCATTGAAATGTTGAAGGTATCGAATACCCTTTTCTAAAGACGCATAAGGTATCTATAAAACATTTTCGTCCTCATGAATAGTTGTTGAAGGTATTAATGTCATCAACAACCTCTAAATGGAAAATGTCAATCAATGTCTTCTTATGATGACACTTGAGCATGCTTTCAAGAATAAGTACCAAGCCCAACTTCAACTTATCTGACATCTAATTGCATCCCCTAATGCTTCTCCCAACTGCGCCAAAGTAACTGTCGTCTGTCCATGAAAATACTCATTCAATATCCTCTTATTCCTCGAAATACGAACCCTTACTGCTTCTTCGTCTGTACATTGCAGTCCAGTGATGAGAACAAACTCAAATATAGAGAACATCGCTACCTTGCCCTCAAGATCAAAATGGTGGGCATCTCTATCGACTGGCTTAAGTAGCTGATATAGAAATGCATAGAGCAGCTGCCTTGAAAACTTTACGTCGTGTAAGGAATACAATGGCCATAAGTAGGATCAACGTAGTATGTTCGCGTGCTCTTCATCTAGTAAATCTAATACTGAAATGAAGCTAACAAAGTTACAGTTTGACGTAACTTTGTGGGGAATTTGTCTGACGACATCGTCCAAATAATATTCCATCTTGCAAAATTTCAAATGTGAGAACCATGTGCAATAGATAATGGATAAAAATAACATTAAAAAAATTAAACTAATAAACTGTTACTATACGCAATAATCGACAGAAAATGGAATAAAGGAAATGATTGTAAAGAAATATTAATTATTTTATTAATATTTAATTTAATTATTTATTTTAATAATTATGTAATTATGTTCATTGTTTATGGATATTAGTTGTTTAGTATTTAATTCTTTATATAATTTATTTATTTAATTTAATTTATTCATAATTTAACTGTTTATATTAATATTTTAATTATTTATTTTAATTTGCTTAATTTAATTATTTTAATTTTCTTTTTTCCTTCTCCTTAAATCTGGTCAAAGGCTACTTTGGGAAGATGGCCGGGTTCACTAATTCCTCCTAAACAATCCAATGAAAATAGGCCCAATACCTATAATCCAAAATTTTATCTGATCCACTTACCCAGATTCAATCACACTTAACCCAACCCCACTATATAAAGTTTATTTTACCTAGCCCAATCCATATAGTAACCTATCCTCTATTGTCAACTTCTTCCTTTATTTGGTTGGAATCTCATAGAAATAAAATAGTTGATTTCGAGAAGCGAAAGGAAAGAGAAGAGAATAGAAGAAAGGTAGAAAAAAAAGGGTGAATTTTCTAACATTATCTTGCAGGTACTTTTTAGTCCGATTGATTGGCATAGCTACTTCAACACAAAAAAAGAAAAGAAAAAAGGGAATCAGCGTTTTCTGTTTGTTATTGGTTTGTATTCCTGTTTCATTTTAAATTGCATTGATTAAATTTTTGTATTGTTATTATTCTAGTTTTATTTTTTTATTTTTACTTAAAATTACTTTATTGGATCCGTTAATGGTGTTAAATTCCACTTTTATCTCGCTTATTTTACGTGATTAGATTTTTTATTAGTATTTGATCCCTGTTTTGTTATTTCACATATATCAATATTAGCTTGCCATATTTGAATTTATTTAATCCCAAAATTGAAAAATAAAATAAAAAATGCTCAAGTTGTTATTTTCTATTGCTTGTACTTATTGTTCATTAATATCTCAGTTGAAGTCATTTAGCTGCTAATACATTGCATGTAGTTGCATAATGACCGTCTTATCACTTTTAGTGTCAGTACCTTAACCATGGATCCTTCACTATTCGATGCACTCACCTGACAAATAGCTGTTATCCAATCCCAAATGATTGCTACTCTTGAAGAGAGTAGGTGCCTAGTTGCCAGTTTGAATAATTTTAAGCAAATCCCTCATTCTACTGATGTTAATAATTTCCAAGTGTCCCACAATAGACAATATCATCGTTGACAAGGTGATCAAAAATATTTTAGGCATGATCGTAGGGATAGGGATTAGATTCGTGAGCGAGAATGAGGCTATAACTATCACAATACTCGTTCTCTCCTTTGTCATAAGCAGTGTTTTTTTAGAGACATTAAATTAGATTTCCCTACTTTCGTTGGTAGCTCAAATCCTGAAATTTTTACCCAATGGAATACCCTTACACAAGGGAATCGGCTAGTGACTGAGTACATTGCCTAGTTTGAAAAATTTCGAATAAAATGTTATATCATTGATGATGAGGCCCTGACTTTGAGTAAGTTTAAAGATGGTCTAAGAGATGATCTAGGCGTGAGCTTTTCCTTCATTGAGTCACTACTCTTGATCACGCTTGCTCTTTAGCCCGAGATTACAAGTTGATTATTGGTACTCCATATGGAAAACATGGTGCCAACCATGTATCCATCTCATCAATGCCACCTCATTTTAAGTCTATTATAAGACCTTCCCCGTCTAATATTCCTCATGTGTTGGAAAATAAGAGTAAAATTCTTAAAATTCTAAGGACTTCTTCTCACTTGCAGTGCTTCAACTATAAGGGCGTTGGCCACATCCCTTCCAAATATCTTAGCCGAGCTTTAGTTATTGAAGCATGAAAGAATGTAATATATGAGCCATTAGAAGATCTAGTCTATGAAACTAAACTTGAAGATTTTGATGACTTGGATGATATAGAGTACACCACCTTAAGTGGTATTCGGAGATATAGAGTACACCTCCTTAAGTAGTATCCGAACTCTTTCGGAGAAACTAGATATCATACCCCTTGTTCCCGACACCTCTATATTAGGTGTTGTATGTTGTACTCTTACCTAACCCAAAGAGGCTGATGATATCATTAGTCACTTTTGGAGAATCATGTTGCCTAGTTTTAGCACTAAATTGAAATTCTTCACTGCAGACCACCCTGAGATTGATGGTCAAACTAATGTTGCTAACCAATGTCTTCACAATTTCTTAAAGTGTATAGTCCTGTAAAATCTTAGAAATTGTGGTTTGATCCTTCCACCAGCTCAACTTGCATATGAAAATTCTATACTCAGATCTCCAAATTTGAGTCCCTGTGAAGTTATTAATGGTTATAAGTCTAGGAGGCCTTTAGACCTTATTCCCATGTCCCTATATGGTAGTGTGTTGATGTTAGCTAAGGTATTTCTACTTCATCTTCATGACTTACATATTGAGACGAATAAACAACTTGAAGCAAGTAATACATCATATAAACTTCAAACTGATTTACATAATCGACATATTGAATTTAATACTGAGGATTATGTTATACTGCAAGCCTTTAGTGTTGGTCCTTTAAAATTTTAAAGTATATTTGTCCAGATACATATATTATTGACCTTTTATCACATTTTCGCCACCACTCTATTTTAACTATTAAGGACTTCATTGCTTACAAAGGCTACTTTAATCCCTTTAATGATCATTTTCTATCGTCACCTGGGACCTCCCACACTAAATCATTTTCTATGTATTAAATTAACGGATTGTACTGACCAATGATGGAAAGATTTACTGCTTCCTTATTTGTTGGGTAGATCAACTTGAGTTTGACTGTACATAGAATCCTAGAGAGAAACTCCAGTAGCTTGATCCAAATTTATTGGAGTCAGCCGAATTTTGCCCATATCACATTGGTTACATCATATTGTTGGGGATAAGATCCATTTTTGATTGCTATCAATCATGGAGTTTTGATATTCGGTTCTTAAGATAGATAGTCCCCCATGGCATGAGTACATCCACCTTGCTTATGATTCGGAGCTCGACTGCAGCCATTTGTGATTTGCCCACTCGATAGAGTCAAGTTTTTCTTCCACTCCGGGAGAATTGATGCAAATGTTACCCTTTTGTTATTATTGGATCATTTATTTTATTTTATTTAGAGTTGGGTTTGTATTAATGGGTTGGCTCAAGTCCTTAGCTTTAGTTTTGTTGATTTGTCCATTTATATAGTTTGTAATTGAAAACAAAACTTAGTTGATGAATGAAATGAATTAAGATTGGCTTTGCCCACAATCTCCCCTTCCCTTGATTCTTCTCCTCTCCTGGTCGTCTTCTTTTGGTGGCTTCTTCCTTTGCTTTCTTATTGTTTTTCTTCTTTTCTCTTCTTGCTACAATTCTAAATTCTGCTGAAAAATCTATCTATACTACATCATGATGCCTAGTAACAATTTATGTTTTTAATGCCTAATACATTTAGGGTTGTAACAGCGTGCATTTTAGAATACGAAAATTAATAAATAAAAAAAGTTTAAGAGATCTAGTTACATACCATTGAAACCATTATTCCCCAAATCTAGATATACAAGTGCTAATAGGTTTCCAATTTCATTTAGAATATTTCCTGTCAATCCATTTAAACATATAAATTTTAAACTATCGAATCAATTAACACAGAATAGATGTAATTAATGAGAAGTACCAGATAATTTCAAGTTCATAATTAAGTGCTGATGGATTTCCAATTTCATTTGGAATATTTCTTGTCAATCCATTTAAACATATAGATTTTAAAATGTTATATGAACACAAAATAGAACTAATGAAATAGAAGAAGTACAAACTAAATTGATTTTGTTGTGAAGAACCTATGAAGTTATGTTGCATGATGTATTCCTAATAATTATTTGGAAGATACCATATTTTTTTGAAAACAATTTGTCAAAAGAGTGTAATATGCACAGGTGGGAACCTAAAGTTCATCATATGTTAAATTAACACAAAATAGATCTTATGGTAGAGGGGATTACCAACTAATTTGAAGTTGATGAATAAGTAACTATGAAGTTATTGTTGCTAGAAAATTATTTGTAAAAAGGCTAAGAGATAGCCTAAAGTTCATTTAGATTCCCATTAACATAAAAATCTTTGTTAAAGGTGACCATTATAAATTTAAATTTCCATAACTTATATTGCGTCCTAGATCCTAAAACTAAGAAACTAAAAATAAAACAAAAAATCATTTCAATTAATATTGAAAAGTTTAGGAAGTATAATCATATTAGGTACTTAGGATTTGAGGTGATTGTGCTGTATTTCTAAAACTTATTTGATAAGTACCACACAATTCGAAAAACATTTGCCAAAAGAGTGTAAAATGCATAGGTGGAAAAGTGTTTATTTAGATTTTCCACTGGCATAAAAATCTTCGACATACATGACAATTTTAAACTTAAAGTTTTGGTATAAGTCTTTCTAGACACTAGATAAACAAATTGAATATATTTAATTTGTGTTTTAAAAGTGCATCTAAGCAGAAAACTCAGACTTGCCAGAAAGCCACGCTGTACGCTTTTATATGCTCGCCCATTTGAGCTCGTAAAAGCTAGAAGGTTAGCCTGACATCTAGTCAAGCTTTTATTTTTAAAACACTCAATTTAATATATGACACAAGTTTAGGAGATGTATTTACATACCACTCTAACTATTGGACGACAAAATCCAAATATTCAATTGCTGATTGGTTTCCAATTTCATTTGGAATATTTCTTGTCAATCCATTTAGAGAAATATATTTTTAAATATCAAATGTTAAATTAACACAAAATAGATCTAAAGAAAGATAAGGAGTACCTACTAATTTGCATTCGATAATTAAGTGCCTGTGGAGTTACTGTTGCATGATGTATTTCTAATAAATGTTTGGAAGATGGCATACATTTTGAAAAACAATGTAGAATACCTAGATGGTAACCTGAAGTTCATTTTGATTTTCCATCAACATTAAAATCTTTGTTGAATATGAAAATTATAAATTCAGAATCTTGATATAAATCTTTGACACGAAACAAAATAAACAAATTGAAATAGATTTAATAAGTGTTCTAAAAGGTGCGTTTAGGCATGAAGTTGGCCATATCACCTAGCCCCAAGGTACGTTTTTGTATGCCTAGACCGTGTAGGCTAGTGTAACTCCAAAGCTTAAACTTGACATCTAGTCATATTTTAAGCTTTTAGAACATTGAATTTAATATAATACAATTTCAAATATCTAGATACGTACCATTGAAGCAAATCTAGTAATACAAGTGCCATGGTTTCCAATTTCTTTTTCTTTTTTAATCCATTTAAAATTTCAAATGTTGAATTAACAAAAATACATCTAATGAAAGACGAAATACATTGAAGTCGATAATTAAGTACCCATGAAGTTATTGTTTCATAATGTATTTCTAATCATTATTTGGAAAATGAATACATGTTGCAAATTATTTGTCAAAGTTGCGTAAAATGCCTAGGTGGTAACCTAAAATTCATTTAGATTTTCCATCAGCATAAAAATCTTTGTTATATATGACAATTTTTTTAAGCTTCAATATAAATTTTTTATTAGGACAACAAATAAAGTAATATAAATTTAACCAATATTCTAAAAAGTAAAAAGTGCATCTAGGCATGAATCAAGCCCTAGCCGTCTAGCCCTTTAGGCTCATAATGGCTTGAAACTTGGCTTTGATGTCTAGTTACACTTTATGATTCTTATAACATTGAAATATATAAAATAAGTTTAGGAGATCTTGATACGTACCACAGAAATTGTTGTGCCACTAGTCCAAATATACAAGTGCTGATAGGTTTTCAATTTCATTTGGAATATTTATTGTCATTCCATTTAAAGAACGTGTGGATTTTAAAATATCAAATGCTAAATTAACACAATATAGATCTAATGAAAGAGAAGAAGTACCAATTAGTTTGATTTCAATAATTAAGTACAAGTTATTGTTACATGACGTATTTCTAATAATTATTTGAAAAATGCTATACATACAGAAGTATATTAGTCAAAAGAGTGTAAAATACCTAGGTTGTCACTCAAAGTTCTTTTAGATTTTCTAGCAGCATAAAAATTGATGCTATGTACGGCCATTTTAAATTTAGTGTTTTTGTAGCTGAAAATTTCATCTCCTATGTCCTCAAACTAACAAATTAAAAAAAATATTCCAATTAATGATGAAAAGATTATAAAATATTGACTAAATATTATAATCTAGCTAGCCACTAGCCGTATCCATCTCCAATAAAAGCTGATTGGGTATGTTGGATTTGATGTTATTACGATTTATTTCTAATATTTATTGGAAAATGCTATGTATGTTGAAACACATTTTTCAAAATGCACAATCGATGTTTTAGGGATTATAACGCACATAACTTTTAGTGAAGCTACGTTAAAGGACATACTCCACGAGCATAAACACGCAGTTTCATTATACATGTAAGAGATGTTTTATGATGTTATTGGGCAACAATTCTAGTCAATTGTCAAAAAATTTGGAATAATTATGGAGTGAAGTGGGAGATGTATGTATATGAACAATATTTTAAACGTACCTATCAAATTATTTTGTCCGAGATAGAGAACTTGAAGCTTTGACAACTTCCGAATTTCTGTTGGAATGCTTCCAGCAAAATTATTGTATTGCAGAGAAAGTAGTTTAAGATTCATGCAAGCTCCCAAGCTTGGAGGAATGTTGCCACTTAATTGATTCATTGAAATCCATAGCCTCTCTAGCTTTGGAAGATTAAAGCAAATATCCATAGGTAGATATCCTAAGAGACTATTGTTTAAAAAAACTAATTTCAATCAGAGAAGTGAGGGTGAAAATCCTGTGAGGAATATTTTCGGTGAGTCCATTATGGGAGATGTTTAACTTCAATAGATTTTCAAGAAATTCAAAAGTTGGTGGAATAGAACCAGTTAGCTCATTGTACTGCATCTCTATTTTTTGAAGCTCCTGAGCTTACCAATTTCATTAGGGATAAACCTATGAAAAAGTATTATTGCTAATAATTAAGGATCTAAAAAAAGAGAGTTCACCAATTTCTTTAGCAATAGTACCTCCTAGAGCCATATCTGCTAGATTCAAGCCCTAACTCTTTGATGTCTCCTGCCACAAGTAATGTCAATTCAATTGCAGAACGAGGTTCCTTGCGACTAATTTTTTGTCAGGATTTTATTTGGATCAGAAGTTATTTGAGCTTTGAAAGCTAGAAAAGCATACTCATCAGTGGAGCTATTTAGAGATGTAACAATGTTGATAAGTAAGTAGACCATTGCCAGCAACATAAAGATGACATTCTTTCCCATGGCTAATTTGAAATGCATAAAGGTAATTGGGAGCGGGCTGGTAATGACTAGTTTGATATAAGTGTAAGTGTGTGTGGATATATATAAAAAAAATAAAAGCTTAAGCAAGATAAGTGTACAAGGTAATTTAGGGTTAATGTGTTGGTTGGGGATTTATCTCAAGGGAGTGGTGCTCATCACACCATTACGATCTTCACTTTCTCCAAAATAAAACAAGCTATGCTTGACTATGAAACTTGAAAGATTATTTCATTGGATGTTGAGATTTTTCCTTATCTTTTATTGTGGAAATTGAGGAAGTATTTTTCACAAATGGAGGCTTCATTCTTCTAATAATCCAAAAGAAATAATTAACTTTTGGAGACTTCATTGTCCATCAATACTCCGTCATTTTCTAGTAGAATGCACAGATTTTCTTAAGAAAATAAAAATAGCTTAAAGTGTGCATAATTTAGAAGTGTAAATCTTAGGCAGTCATGAAATACGGCCCGAATTTCCGTTTCAAAAAGATTATTTATTATTTATCTTTTTATATCCAAAAGAAAGGTTTTTGTGGTTATTAAGAACAAATAATTTAAATTATTTAGCTTGATGCTTATAAATTCATTATTAAAAGTGCTCAATTTTTCTTATAAAATATTTTACAACTTTTGGTCTATACTAGTCAAAGTTGAATATGCATTGCACTTTATTCAGAAATACTTTATAAGTATTGTAAAAGTAACATTTGATACCAATTTGTTGGGAGAATTTAATGAGTTTCAAATGAATTAAAGGAAAAAATTAGGATAGAAATTTAAGAGAAGAAAATTGTAATCTCAAAACTCAACTTCTATTACTTAAGTTTTTTAAGATGAAGAAACAAATGGGCAACCTTTTTTTTTACTACATTTGGTACATAAGCATTAATTCTTAATACATGAATTTAAATAAATATTAAAATTTCTAAATACATGAATAGAAATGAATTCATCTTTAATAACTCTAGATTTATGTAGGTCAAGATTCATCAAATTAAGATTCATTGAATCTATATTAATGTGAATGTTAATTAATTGAGAATTGATAACACGAAATTAATACATGATGAGAATTTTGTAGTATTTATTACATATTGAAAAACAAAAAGTAATGTATTATAGAAAAAATGAGTCATAGTGTGATTAAAATCGTCAAAAAAAAGATTCTTATTGTGATATTTAACATATTATAGATTATGAATAGAAATAAATTCATCTTTAATAACTCTAGAGTTATGTAGGTCAAGATTTATCAAATCAAGATTCATTGAATCTATATTAATGTGAATGTTAATTAATTGAGAATTAATAACATGAAATTAATACATGATGAGTATTTTGTAGTATTTATTATATATTGAAAAATGAAAAGTAAGGTATTATAGAAAAAATGAATCATAGTATGATTAAAATCGTCCAAAAAATTATTCTCATTGTGATATTTAACATATTATAGATTATAGATATGAAGACAATGAGGACACTTATATGGAGAAATTGCCACAACCAATGTCCTGAAAGTAGCCTCCATCCTCTTGAGTAGAATTATGGGCTCTTTGAAATATAAATGGGCATGAATGGAGCTTTTACGAGTGTATCAACTAAAGCTCTCTTTTTTCATGTACGATGAAGCAAAGCATATCAGATCCAGTGCCGGATGTTCTATATTTCTTTATCGGTCTAGCATTAGACTCATATATTTTCTCTACTTGTAATTTCAGTAGTATGTTTTGCTCTTTTTTTCCGTCTTGCAGTATAAAATAATGTCTCTTTGTGTTAGCTGGCTCGTGATGGGAAGTCGTATATTTTGCATTTTTTATCCTCGTAGTATAAAATAATTTCTTATAACTAATGGAAAAAATATTAAAATTCAAAATTTTCACAAAAATAAATGTAAATTTATACAATACATTAGTGCAAAATCATTTACAAAAAATAAATAAATAAATAAATTTCTTAATTGCAAAATTATTCACTACTATAAAATGCAGGGACGATACTTTAGTTGTGTTGCCTTTGCAAAGTCTCTTCCATGTTTTCTTTCACCGTTTTTTGCTGAATGTTTATGTTGCCACCAACAACATTCTGATGATGTTGAGTTTAGTAATCACCGATTCACTGGTAGGATTTCCATCAATGATGATTCACAAAATTTAGTATGTTTTAGTAACTTTTGCTGACTTCACTTCAAGAATTAATGAAGAATGACATATTAGTGATACTGCATTTAATTACTATTCACAAATCATTCATTTAGATGTTTTTTTCCAATTTTCCCAAATTGCTGGAGGCATCCCTACCCTTATCTTAGAAAGTTTAACAAGTGTTACCATACAAGACTATATGAGACACCATTATTTATAAACGTAAGCCTAACATAAGCTCAGTAAATCAATCAACAAGTGTTTCAATTTTTATTTTTTATTTTTTTTCTATATTGCAACATCGACTTTCATAAACTGTAAAACATGAATTTTGTTGACAGCATGAAAAATATGCAGTGTTCATGCGGCATCCCAACATCAAGTTATCCATATATGTCACATTTATAATTTCACGACTATCTTATATTGAACCATCACATCTAAAAACCAAACGGTTAGAAAATAAACATTTATTGATTTAAATATAATGTTTAATATGTTGAGTTTGGTGACTCAAAATTGAGTTAGATTCTTGTTATTGGCATATTGGACTTCTACTTAGAAAGGAGATTAAGTGCAATCCGTGAAATAAGGAAATGAAATCCTTTCCGCACGGGTTTCTCGTTTTACACAATTTTAACCTAATTCTACTAGATTTTCTTACCTTTTAGGACTCTATTAGGTTTATGGACATGGCCTATAAATTAGAGACTCCTTTGTCACTTTTAATGACGCATTATTGCTGTCATGGATTATTCTCTTTATATTGTCGATTTAATAAATTTCATCGTTCCTTTGCTTAGTTTCTCTTTTTGTACTTTACTTTAATCTTGTTTTCATGGTACGATCTTGAATATTTCATAATTGTCATTAATCTCAATCTTGCATCGCCTTTGGAATAAACAAGTGGTATCAGAGCATGGGTTGCATGTTCTTTGTGATTTGCTTGAGATTTTTCAAGGATGAATTCGTTAAAGTATGAAATTCCGTTGCTGGATCGCCATATAAGATTTTCGCTATGGCAAGTAAATGTGAGGGCCGTGTTGACACAGATGAATCTTGACGATGCTTTGCTCGATTTTGAGAGGATGCCAGTAAACTATGGAGGAGAAATAACGAAGGGATCGAAAGGCTCTAGTGCAGATTCATCTTCACTTATCCAATAGTATTCTGCAAGATGACTTGAACGAGAAGACGACGGCTATTTTGTGGCTCAAGTTAGAGCAGTTGTGTATGAAAAAGAGTTTGACGAGCAAATTGACTTTAAAGCACAAGCTGTATTCCTATCGAATGGCGGAAGGAGGGTCACTGCAAGACCATCTTGCTGTGTTCAAGGAGATTGTTGCAAATTTGGAGATGTTGGAGGAAAATATGATGAAAAGGATCTGGCCTTGATCCTATTGTGTTTGCTACGCAGTTTTTTTCATTGTTTTGTTATAGTATATTGTATAGTCGTGACACCCTGACCATTGAGAAGATATATGACGCCTTGTTCTCAAAGGAAAAGATGGAGCTGTTGGTTAAAGATCCTTCATCTAGGAGTGGGGATGCTCTGGTTATTCATAGTGATCGATGGAGGGATAGATCGAAGGTACAGCAATGTGTATTGTTATTACTGTAAGAGGAAATGACATATTAAAAAAGATTGCGACGAGTTGCAGGTTAAAAGTGATTTACATGCAAATCATATGGGATAATCAGGTAACGAGACTAACATTGTTGAGAATTTTTCGGATGATGGAGATATAATGTTGGCTGTATCTGATGGGGAATTTAAACCTGGGGAGTGGATTTGGATTCTGCATGTTCATATCATATGTATTCCAATAGGATTTCGTTTCAGACATATGAGACGGTGAAGTAAGGTGGAGTTGTCATGGAAAATAATCAATCTTGTTGGGTTGCAGGAATTGGTCGGGTCAGATTGAGGCTACAAGATGGGACAGTGAGGACACTTTATCAGGTTTGCCATGTTCCAGACTTGACAAAGAATCTCATACCATTGAGTGTCTTGGATGTAAAAGGGTATAAATTCTCTGGTGGAGGTGGAGTCTTGAAAGTCCAAAGGGGTGTCCGGGTTGTGCTGGAGGGACAGAAGAAGTCTTAGTTGTACATCTTGTAGGGGGATGCAAAACCAATTAAAAGACATCTGGACAAGTTCAGTACTGTGGTGGATATTCAGGTTAGTATAGTACCTCTTGTGATGGGCTTTGAGTCGGTTCAGAACATTGCTAAGAAGAGCGTTAGTGATCTTGCTTTGCCACCAATTTCAGCGGATACATTGTGT